ATGACTCTGTAGTTCTATGTGGGCATGCGTGCAAAGACGTAAACTCAAGGGTATATGTTTGCAGCAAAGTCATAAACACAGGAAGCTGGGAACAACCTAACTGTCAACATTAAGGGCCTGAGTAAATAATGACATCAGTGCCGTTGAGAATCAGGCTGGAGGTCCTAGAAGCAATGCAGAGAGAAAAGGGGAAAAGAACCCTAAGATTCTGTTAAGAATAATTGGGAGAAGAGGAGGAGACCCAGGAACAACTGGGTGTAAATTGGGGTGAAGTGAAGGATTCCAGGAAGGATCCAAGGCACCTGGGAAAGTAGCTGAGACCTGAGGAGGGAGAAAAGACAAGGACGACTCAGAGTTCTAAGAACGGGAGCTCGCACGCTCAGTGTGGCGTCACCCTCACCCTCCAGGAAAAGCAGCCCCTCTCTGCCTTGTGTTCATGGAGGCGGTCAGGGTAGGTGGGGAGGTTAAGGAATGGGGCCTCGGTGTCCCGTGCGGACTGTTTTAGGACTGGAATAAAGACAAGTCACAGTTGCACATCTCCTCCTGAACCAGACAACTAGGACAGAATCTGACTTGGCAAAATAGAAGCGCCTAGAGCAGTGGTTCTCAACCTCCTGGCCCTTTAAATACAGTTCCTCCTGTTGTGACCCAACCATAAAATTATTTTCGTTGCTACTTCATAACTGTAATGGTGCTACTGTGATGAATCGTCATGTAAATATCTGATATGCAGGATGGTCTTAGGCGACCCCTGTGAAAGGGTCGTTCGACCGCCAAAGGGGTCGCGGCCCACAGGTTGAGAACCGCTGGCCTAGAGAGTCTTCATGGATGGGGAGAAATGCTGGTTTTTCTCCATGGTTGAGGTCGGAGACTGAGCCATGTGAAGAGAAGAGGGAGCCTTTAAGCTGGAGCTCTGGGCTGCCTGGGAGCTGCGATGGAGTCAGAGGCGCGCCCAGGAAGTGAGCCCAGCCCAGGTCTGGCTCAGGTTTCCCACCGATGCGGGAGGATTCATGAGAGGCACATGCCAAGCTCCGCTACTTTGCATCTGCTCGTTTGCATGTAAGCAGGTGAAGGGGGTTAAATATTATTCTGGGAGTTGATAGCCGGTTCTTTATGATTCAGAAGAGGCTAACTGACTTTAAAAAAAAAATCATAATAAATCATGTATCCAGGCCCAGGATCTTAATGCTCCTTTGTTATCTCTATTTTCAGCAGAAAACATCAATGACAACAAAAACTGAAAATGGAAAACCAGTCCTACAAGTTTTGCAGTAAACGGTAAGTCAGAATATCAAGTACAAATAATAATACTTTTATGATGAATTACTAACCTGAAGAACCTAGAGGGCTTGGAGACATATGGGAATGATAGAACTGGGTAAGCAAAACCAAGATTCTTTTAGAAAAATGGTCTTTTTGCATCAAAAAAAGGCCTGCGCCCTGGGAATGCCCACGCGTGCTTCCGCGTGGACTTGTGCCAGCTGTGCAGGCAGAGGTTGTGCAGCCGGGGAGGTGAGTGGGGGTGCAGCCCGCCAGTGCTCACCTCTGCCCTCGAAGCTGTTCACCTGATGCGGGGGGATTCAGAGGAGAACCCCAACTGCCTTGGAGATGCGATGCCTCTTTTTTTTTTTTTTTAATATTTTTTTATTGATCTCAGAGGGGAAGGGGGATGGAGAGAGATAGAAACATCAATGATGAGAGAGAATCACTGATCAGCTGCACACCCCACACTGGGAATCGAGCCCTCAACCCAGGCATGTGCCCTGACCGGGAATCGAACCGTGACCTCCTGGTTCATAGATCGACACGCAACCACTGAGCCACACCAGCTGGCCGCAGTGCCTCTTTTTTGCACAAAGCATCCACCCAGTCCCAAAGTGGTATCTTAAAAATTCTTACAAAAATGTGGTCCTGATGGTTCCTTGTGTCTGTTCTCTTGCCCTTGGCCCCGTTGTCTCAGCTCTTCCCTAAGACTGGAATCCACAAAGAATTCCCAAACATCCGGCCTCTCTTAAGTCTAGTAAGGTTACTTAAGATTGGGGGTCGCACCGAGGAAAGATAATATCCCAAACCACACAATGTCACATCATGTTCAGTTCTTCCCTCATGTCCGCTCTCTTTCCCCAAATTCCAAAATCATTATAGGTACATGACTCTACTACTGATGGGAGCCATCCCCAAGCCCTGCCTGTGTGCCATGTTCTGAAGAATAAAGTTTCTCCATCTTTCTTCACTCTTTTAGGTCTCCGAGCCTTTGACCGTGGAATGACTCTCTCCCCTTGCCCACCTGGTAAACTCTTATTATTCATTTTTCAAGCCCTATTTCAAAATGAAAGAAATAGGATTAACATAAGTCAGAGACATTTCTGAGGTTTTTTTGTGGGGTTTTTTTCTCATCAGAAGTATGGCTAACTAGCCAATGACCACTCTGTTGGCTCACAACTCTCTGAACCAGCAGTCAACCGGTCAGCTGGGAAGCTGGAGGGCAGCTATTAACCTGGAACCCAGAACTGAGTGATACAATCAGAAGAGTCTAGAGCAGTGGTTCTCAGCCTTGGCTGCACATTAGCATCACCTGGGAATCTTTTTTAAATCCTGATTTCTGGGCCTCATCCTCCAGAAATTCTGTTTCTTTGTTATGGGGTGGGGCCACAACATTAGTAACAAAGACACAGAATTTCCGGAGGACGGGGCCCAGAAATCAGGATTTTAAAAAGATTCCCAGGTGATTCTAATGTGCAGCCAAGGCTGAGAACCACTGGTCTAGAGATTGGCCTTGGAACCGGTAATGAGGGTGATGACAGAGAGCACCTGAAAGAGTTATGCTCGAAACTGTTGTTAAACTGAGTAATGAGACACTATACCTGTAATTTACTTCAACTGCCCGGCTCATAGCCTGGAATCTCCTGACAGTAACTTAATGAGCAGCTCTGTCCTGATCCGACCCCACGGGCTCCCTTGCAGTGAGCAGGGTCAGAGGAGGGTTGCCCTGGGGACGGAGAGGAACTAGGGAGAAACCGTAAGGCTAGGCCCCGAGGCCCCAGCGGAGAGATGCCCACCCGGCCCCAACTACACGCCAGGTGGCGCGGCAGAAGCTGAGCTGCCTCCGGAACGCGCCTCTATGAGCTCTTTGCCGTTGGGAGTGATTTTGTGACGGTAGCCCAAGTCTTCCCACATCCACACGTGCCTAGAACGTTAGTGTGCTGCCAGGAGAGACTCATCCAGTCCTCAGAAAGACAACTGGCAACCCCCATTTCCAGAGCATTATCGAAGCCATAGCACCATCTATCTATTCTCGTTCGTCTCATGTTTAATCTTTTCTATGACCCGTTAAGATCCTGACTCTTATAATACCCCTGAATACTGACACTGGATTGAAAGGTACCCACTCAGACACGTTAAGTCTTGATATCATTCTCCATCAACATTTGATGCAGGCGTGAGAGTGTATGTTCAGCCCTATGTTGTACCTCCGTTAATGTTCTCAATAATTAAACAACCCACCCTTCTTAGACTGCATGAGAGTGAATTACTTCTTTCCACAGACATTTGACCCTCATTAGAAAAGCTCAGGTATAGAAGCATTTTGGGAGTAACTTTCTCTGTTAACCTCCCAAACTCTGGAACAGTGCCCCTGGGTAACAGGTAACTATTGCATCGCACGGCAAACTGCACCAAATACTTAGAGCTCTTGTCGGCTTTCTCATTTACTTTCATGGTAATCAGATTGAGAACTTTTAAGTAGACCACTAGCTGAGGCATAAGTAATGCCTAGAGCATTATTTTCAATATTTGACCAGGGAAGAGATCCTTTAAAAATTTATTTTCTCAAGGTACTTTTTGGACTGATGCTTAAACCATCAGGCTCTAGCCTTTAAGAAGACATCCAAGATGGTAGAAATAGTCTGTGGGCCTATGTATTGGCTGCTTTCACATAGTTGTCTTACATGGGAATGTAAGGGGTAGAGATCAGCTGGCCTCACAAGCTATTTCTAGACTCATTTCCAGATTCATATTATATAACAGATGTACACTTACCAAAGTAAAACATTTAGGCAACAAATATGTGTTCCTACCCCTAAATCGGCATACGCTGGAATTGAAAGAAAACAGCAATTGTCCTCTCTTTGGAGGAGAGTGTCTTACCATGTTCATCTGGGATTGCCTGGATGACAGTGATAGTGCTGAGGATGGTCCAAGTTGCTGGGCAGCCAAGAGCATGCGCACAGCAAGCGAGCGGTCAGACCTCCGGAGAAAGCAGTGTCCTTCGGGGGAGAGAGATTTCCTTGGGAGGAACATTGTCTACAGAGGGAATTTACAGTTTGAAGGAGATTTTTGAAAATCAGTTTAATATCGTGTCTCCCACCTTCCCCAGCAAAACTAAGTACAGCCCCCGGAACACTGGAGGAGCTGTCACAGAGCTACGGCTATTACTCCCATAGTCGTGTAAGGGGTTAGACGCCAACCAGGGCCTCTTTCTAATGCTTTGGTAAGTCTCCTTCAGGGCCGCCTTGGACATGCAGCTCTCACACACTCCAGGGAAGAGAGCGACTGACACAGCCGCCGTGGAGAGTACCTTGATAGGAGGCTGTGGTGCCCAGTTACCTGGTCGAACATAGTCTAGATCAGCGGTTCTCAACCTGTGGGTTGCCAACCTGTGGGTCGCGACCCCTTTGGGGGTCGAAGGACCCTTTCACAGGGGTCGCCTAAGACCATCGGAAAATACATATATAATTACATATTGTTTTTGTGATTAATCACTATGCTTTAATTATGTTCAATTTGTAACAATGAAAATACATCCTGCATATCAGATATTTACATTACGATTCATAACAGTAGCAAAATTACAGTTATGAAGTAGCAACGAAAATAATTTTATGGTTGGGGGTCACCACAACATGAGGAACTGTATTAAAGGGTCGCGGCATGAGGAAGGTTGAGAACCACTGGTCTAGATGCTGCTGTGAAGGCATTTTGTAGGTTACATTTCGCACCCACAGGTGAAGGGGATTGCCGTTGATGGTGTGGTGGGTTGAAGACCTTCGGAGCAAAAACTGATGTTTCCCAGAGTAGAAGGAATTCTGCTTCAGGACTGTAACAGAGCAATCCTTTCTGGCGAGTGATGTCGTCCAGAGGGCACCAGAGCTCATTCCCGACTTCAGTCCTCTTCACAAGAAGGCCAGCCAGCAACCACCCACAGACAAGACACCGTTGTGAAACCCCAGAGCCCGGGAGTGAGGCTGAAGCACCGCCTGGACCACAGAGACCAAGAGGAGCCGGGTCTGAAGGGTAAGAAGAGCGGTTTCTCTTGAGCACATCGCCCCTTAGGCCCGCACAGCGCCGCCAGGAGGGCCCCTCAGTCTGCGATTGCTCCGGTGGGAAAAGGAAAGCCCCAGGTGACAGCACTGCCAGACGCTTCCCAGGAG